TGCACGTATCAGTATTTTTATGTTAACAATAGATAAAAGTACGAGTAAGAGGTGAGGCTTGACTAATAATACAAATGTTCTCACAACTAATATTTCCCCCTCCGATTTGGATATTGCACTTGGCAAAATTGCGGTTTAGATACATTTCGATTAATTGTGCTGCCATAGTTTAAGTTTACCATTAAATCCCTCACATCTGTTTACGTCTTTTTAATGGCTGGTGCAGCTGCAGCCTGCATGTGAGTGCGCTCTCTGTTAGGCTTGACTTTCCTCTTCACTTCCTGCTGTTTGTTAAGTTGAGTTTGCATTGACACTATCCTACCAATAGAGCAAAGCTAACAGGAGAAGCAGACAACCCCCCCCCTCTCAGTTTAGATAACCTCCCCTCTTCTCATGACTGAGGAGAAGGAGCTTCATACAGCTGTGCTATTTCATCATGAAACAGCTTTGTGTGGACGTGTGTGTGTGTGTGTGTGCGTGCTTGACCTCTGACTCCAAACAGTCCGATATACGTTTGAGTTTGTGGGGATGCAGTAGAATACACAGAGATACAGTGTGTATTTAACTCTCACTGGGACAGAATATCACCCATAACTGAGCAAACACGAGTTAAGAAGGTAAAGGGTTGGATCCATGCTGCTATGGGCTGATGGAATACACAGATGTTATGAATGGATGTTCTCCCCCAGCAGGTGGCTGATTTAGAAGAAGATGAATGGAAAGAAAAATGTAGCAAGTGCACTGGCAACATTTAAAAGTTTGTTCCCTGGAAGGACAGAACAAACTTTGTCTCAATAGGCAATTACAAATCAACCCTGATAAATATGTCATGAGGGGTTCCTCATCTTAGGACATTTGCTTTTTAATATTTATATGCTACCTCTGGCTGAAATTATTAAAAAGAGCGATCTAAGCTATCACATCTATGCAGACGACACCCAGATGTATTTTAAAATCACACCGGGAGACTGTTCTCTGATTAGAACACAGAGCAAGTGCACTGAGCACATCACTGACTGGATGACTCAGAACTTTCTCCAACTGAACAAACAAAAAACTGAGATCATTGTTTTTGGAGCAAAGAAGGACCGATTAAAAGTAATCACAGAGCTTCAGTCGGCAGACTACAAAGTAACTCACAAAGCAAGACATCTGGGTGTAGTGATGGACTCAGACCTGAATTGTAACAGTCACATTACAACAGTTATTAGGTCTGCATACTATACTACCACCTGAAGGACATTTCAAGGATTAAAAAACTAATGTCGCAACAGGATTTATAAAAACTTGTCCATGCTTTTATCTTCAGTAGACTCGACTACTGCAATGGTGTCTTCACAGGTCTCACTAAAAAATCTATCAGAAAGCTGCAGCTGATTCAGAACGCTGCTGCTCGAGTCCTGGCTTCCTGTGTGTCAAATAATTGATTTTAAAATACTACTGCTAGTTTTTAAATCACTAAATGGCTTAGGACCGAGGTATATAGACGACCTCCTCCATCACTATGAAGCATCCAGGAGTCTCAGGTCTTCTGGGTCGGGTCTGCTCTCTGTTCCGAGAATAACCACTAAACATGGAAAAGCAGCTTTTAGTTATTATACCCCAACAATTTGGAACAAACTGCCTAAATCGTGCACGTCTGCCGAAACACTTCCTATTTTTAAATCCAGACTAAAAACGCACCTATTTGCTGCTGCTTTTAATTGAGCTGCCCATACTCACACTACAGTATGCCTTTTAGTCATGTATTCTGTACCTGCTGTGTTTATTATTTTATTTATTTCATTACCTTTGCTTATTATGCCTGTTTTTAAATGCCTTTTTAATCATGTATTTAATGCTGTATTTGTTCTTAAATGTCGTTTGCTTTTAATCTGAAAAGCACTTTGAATCGCCACGTGCTGAACAGTGCTATATAAATAAAATTGCCTTGCCTTGGAAATGATCAGCAAAGATCTCTGTAGAAACCTTCCAAAGAGAAGCTTCTCATGGATCTTAAGGAAACCTCTGGAGCAACAACTCGAAACACAAGGAGAACACGGGAGAGCTCGACTTGATGGCAGACACCGAAGGTTTATTGAAAGTTATGGCCGGAGAATTGACCAAGACATGTGCTGCAGCCACAAGGCTCCTGCCTCACCAATTCTGAAGCTCTCTCACCAAATCTCAAGTATTTATCTAGCTCTAGACAAAAATATTTTCAAGGGAAGAGAGAAATTGGCTCCCCAAGGTCGCATGCCCGAACGCTGACGACAGGAGAGAGTGATACACTGGGTCAAAGGCAGAGGCCTTGGTAAATGTTTCCCCAACAATGGACACGACTGACTGTAGCCTTACAAATAACCAACGTGATGAACCATTAACAAACGCAAATTAATTACATTACCAAGTTTGTCCCAAAGAGGCTCCTGTAACACCAACATGGATGTATACCATGAATTACATGGCTATTAGCGAATTAGCCAGCCTGAGCTACATATTTTGCACTGAGTGGAGACATCTGGACATCAGTAGGAACCATCACTACCTCACTGTAACGGCACACCTGCATAGTTTGCTCTAGGTGTGGTGAAACAGAGGGAAGGCATGTTGCTGAACCAGTTTGTTGAAGTTACACAGGAGTGGGAAACAGTGGACAGGGTCTCCACTGTAGGAACAGATAGAGCTGCAGTCTGAGAGCAGGGATAATATGCTGTGTGTAGCTCACATTACACAGAGGGAGGGCCGCAGCTGCTTTGTCGACGCATTAGCTAAGTGTGAAAAATAGCGCAATTCTTGGCAATAATTTCAAATAATTTTATAATAAAGTCAAGAACCCTTTTCTCTCACCATTTATTTTATCACAACACCACCATGTCTTTGTTTTATCTCCCCCAAAATACTAGTACTAGTATTTAATTTATTACTGATTATTATTGTCAATAACGGAATTATATATTTGTAATCAATTGACAACCCTAATTTAAGCATATTCAAACTTTTAATTTGATACATTTCATCCACAATATAGTAACCTAAACATGTAGAGCTGTCTGCCCATACTTGATAAGAGATAAGGCAGTGCTCTCTGGTATGAGAGATCAAGGAGATAAAAAGTCAGAGGCAGTGACGATGCAAAAGGTTTCGACTAGGATCTGTGAGGCCATCGACTTATCTTTGGATAAAGAAGTTCACTGCCCTGTTCAAGACAAATGCATGGGAAAAGATTGTGGCTTACAATGCGACTGCATATTGTATTCTCTTCTCCTTGCCCAAGCCTTTTAATGAAACCTCAAGTGTTGTAAGGCGTCAGTTCCAGTCTAGCAGCTTCAGTCAATGCTCCAGAAGAATTTCCTTCACAACTTTAAAATACTTAAAAACCTAAATAATGTAAAAACGGTAGTTCTACATGAAGCAGGATTCTGATGTCTCTTCCTCGTTAATATTTGTCTTGTAAATGTTTGGTAAACTACTCTGGTCAGTGTTGGTCACATCGGTCGGGGTAGTGGTGGCATCAGATTTTCAAAGGCTGTGTGATGGTGTATCTGAGGTCTTTCTAGGACAAGCAGCTGTCCTTTCCTCCAACCAAACACTTCTCCAAGGCCTTTCATGAGACACGAGCCAGATGCTCAGCCGTTAATCACAGCATTGTGAGAGTGTGAGACTGTGTGTGTTTGGGAAAGCTGCGCTCTTTGTCAAGTAAATGTTTACTGTGTGTTTGTGTGACTCCTGCATCCCTAACACCAGAATGGGAGCAGACAATGGAAAGTTGGCACAGAAATCAGAGTAAAAGGAAGATTTATATGTCAGTGTAAGAAAACGTTTTTAGAGAGTACTTGTCCATGGACAAGTGAGTTTGGCAATTTACTTGTCCGAATACATTTTTCACTTGTCCGATCTGGACATGCCTGTTTTTCTTTTTCTAAAATTATTTGACATACCCCTTTTCAAGCCCATCAGTACATACATGGTAGGGTCCCCTTTCAAGCCCTTAATCCACTGTTTTCTGACAGAATTTATTTAAATGTGTTTCCTTGTTAGCTGAACACACCATTTCACCATCGACATTTTTAAATTGTATTTAAAGAAAAAGCCCTAACAAAACAGCAGGTCTCTATTTCAGTATTAACTAAAGAAAGAAAAACAGCAACAGCTGACATCAAATCTTTGCTGAGCCTAAAGATAATCATAAATAAATAACATAGTGAATATAAATATATTGCAATGCTCAAAACAGCAGCATCCAACCGTCTCTAATCCTTGGATATGACATGTCACTGCATGCATGCACGGAGCACCCGTAGCACGGAGATCATCATATCATTCTGTCTTGTATTACTTGATCAAAACAAAAAAATGGCTTGTTCGCGGGCGCGAGCCGGCTCTCGTCGTTCACTTCAAAGAGCCGGCTCTTTGAAGTGAACGTAAAGCGGTCGCAAACAACAATGGCGGACACGGACAATTTGCAAATGAGTTCTGCCTTTTGTAAGCTGAATTTATAAATAAGTTGTGAATAAATATGGGCGAAAAACGCCACTTGCCCGTCGGACACGTCAATGGAAAGATGTACCTGTCCGATATTGTAAATAACACGTCCCGGACAATCGGACGTGTGCTTTTTCGCACGCTGTATGTTAAGGAAGTGTTTAGTGAAAGGGAAGGAGGAAGGGGATGTGAGGGAGAGAGGGAGCAGGAGAGCAAACTTTGTATTCCCTCCATCTGAGAGCTTTTCGAGCCGGCACACGAGCCCCTGACCTTCTCCCTCACACACACAATGGTCCTGCTTTATGTTCTCTGCTGCAGCTCCAGGCCCTGTGTGTGAGAGTGTGTGTGCATGAGGTTTTGCATGTTTTATTGTGTGCTTGCTTGTAGTTGAGCTTATTCATGCATGCACATAACATGTGGCCAGCAGGCTGCCTTCATCTTCTCATCTAAAAATGTTTCATTGCTCTGCCATCAAATTGACAAATAAATAGATTCATGATCTTTTTATGTATTGTAACATGTGTGTGTGTCCTCAGGGGAATCTGGTCTGGGGAAGTCGACACTCATCAACTCTCTGTTCCTGACTGACCTGTACTCCAAGGATTACCCGGGGCCCTCGCAGCGCATCAAGAAGACTGTGCAGGTGATTATTTCTCTTTTAAGGACCTTCACATCGGGCGTCTCACCTGATTTTCAGGTTAGGCTTCATCACGATACAGATAAGGCTGTAAGAAGGTCAAATGTTCCGATATTTCACCACACACAGACATCCTCATAATACACTTCTAAACAATATACTGTTGATATGAAGGACCCAGTTCAGGCAGATTAAGTAATGCAGTTATTGATGCGCTGTGATGACCTCAGAAAATAAGGGGTAAGGGGCCTGAATAAGGTCTGTGGTTAACACAAGCTGAAGAGATGTTAAAGTTTTGTTCCAATACGTCATTAAAAACTCTACACGTTAAAGTTCTGAACTTCTATGCTATCTAAAAAACAGCGGTTGCTAACAAATGCAAACATTTAGCCACCTTTAGCATTGGTGACGTGATGTCATGTGACTGTAATGTTTATTTATAACCAAACTTTTGTTTTTACTTTTACTTCTGCCGATTGCATTTATGCTTAAAAAATCATAAAGTGGTTAGGGTTAGGGTTAGGGTAATATGTGGAGATTATCCTTCCAAAGAAAACGTGTAGTGTCTTTGCCATGTATTTACCACCAATCTTATTTTCTACAATATACCAAATCCAATGGGAAATTCCATTGCTTTTTGACGAGGGAGACCTTTTAATGCTAACTTCTGGGTCATCACTGCACCACTATAAAGTGTATACAAATGAATATTAGGCTTTGAAGCATCATTGGTTGGAACAGAGGTTAAAGCACATATAGATGAATTAATATAGGAAGCAAGTCATGGAGTCTTCTAGAGAGGAAGAAGAGGTAGGGGTGGAATAGCATAGGAAAAGCAGGGTGAGAATAAGGATGGAGGATCTAAGAGGGAGACAGCAAGGCCACATGGCCTTGTTTTATCCTTGTATGGTCATGACAAAATAAGAAGGGGGCAGACTACATCTGGAGCAGCGAGGAAAGAAATGGTCTGTAAAAAGGGAGAAAGGGAAAGAAGGAAATAGAGGGTTGGACATGAGCAATGCAGCCAAGAGGAAGAGGAGGGATGCAGGAGGAGTTGGACAGAGAAGCAGTGAGAGAGTCTGAGGACTTAATGAGAGGTGACCAAGGAGACTCGAAGAAAAAGAGTCATTGCATTCTCCCTGGGGCCTGATGGGGTTAGTAGCAGGGCAACCATGTTCCCATGAAGCCGAACACACACGCACACACGGATATAGCTAAACGGTTGAGAAAACATCATCTTCTCTTTAGTTGGTTCATATTTTCTTAAAATCATAACTGCACTTTTGTCAAATGTTTTTGTAGAAGGACTTGTGGTGTTTGCAAAACAAGCATCACCCACACACATCCACAACACACTCCTTGAAGCCAACTCTTTCATTTGCTTTTGGTTAGGCGAAAGTGTTTCTGTTTATGAAGAGGAGTGATACAATCCAGCTGGGAATCCACAGATACATTGTGAGATCAATTGTTGTGCCATCTAAATCAGTGGTTCTGCACCACTATATAGCAGTATGCTTTTAAGAGGGTCTTCAGATATACTTCTACTGAAACATGTATAAAGTGCAGAGATACAGTTTCTTAAAACATCATGTTACATGTGATTTCATGTATTTTTGTATTGCTATTAGCGCCACAAGCTAAATTCCAATTCACCTTCAGTGTAAGGAAGTGCCAGAACACCAGCTATTAAGCTCAATTATGGACACGGTTAGACACCAGAAGATCTTTGCTTCATTAACAAAAAGTCTAAATTGAATGGTATGACTGTCCTTGTGCACCGTGTGCAGTTTCAGCATGGGGCGAGACTGAAAACATTTAGAACATTTTGCTCCCATCGGTCAGTCAAAAGAATCGCCGACCTCCTGTGAACCTCATGAGCGCTACGTGGGCATCCATGGTGCAAGTCGAAGTCAGTGTGTGAGTGTTTGTTAGGGGTGCTGTGGTCCAGGGGACGACGGGTCAGAGTATTTATATTCCAGAACAATCTCTCATTCTTTGTCGCTTACTGGAGTTCCCCCTGATCGGATTTCTTTTTAAATGATGGTGTTGAGACTGATGGCATTTCTGTGGTTTCCTCCAAATCTGTTTTTCTTCGCAGAAACGCTGGAAATAGTAGATTTGGTTTTGAGATGGCTGACATGACATGCACAGACACTTACAGTACAAACACACACTGGGTGCACAATTAAGCTCAGTATGTCAAGCGGCTGCGGTGCGTGTTTTTATATATATATATATATATATAATGTGCTCAGTTGTAAAGCAGACAGATTCTCTGAAGGCTTGTGAAAGCTGGATTCTGTTGTTTTAGAGAAAGAGGGCTGTAGTTTGATTTAAAGGGCCGGTCCTAAAATAACTAGATGGCCTTGTGAAAGTATGCGGTGAGGCGAGGGAGCAGCAAACAGGCAGCAGGAAATGATGGATCTGTGGAGCTGATGTGGAGACATGTGACTGAAGTGTGAGGTGGAATGGTTGGTCTGCTTTTTGTGTTTCAGGCTAAAGCAACAAGCAGAAATAAATCAGGCTGTTTTGGTATTTTAACAATAATATGTTGGATCTTAAATCCCTTTAGCAATGTGTGCTTCTTAAAGTATACTGCAGCACTACAGAAAGAATAATCAGCGGGAACAGTTTTACCTTTTTATTTGATGCCTAATATAAAGAATATTGGTTAGCTGAAATCTTCCTTGACTGTATAGAGATGGTTGCAGATTTAAGGCCATTCCCCACAACCTAAATAATGACATTATGGTCACAATTTCAAAATGTATTATCAATTTTTGTTTTATGTATTTTCCTAGACACACATTTCCTTTGTATGAAGTCATACCCACAGGTGACTATGAGGTAATGTGGTATCTTTCAATCACATGGTTGTGGGTTTGTTCACAGGCAACATGTATGTATCTTTGGGCAAAATGCTTCACCTTAAGTTGGCCAACGGTGTGTGAATGTTAGCTTCATTGAACAGGTGGCAACTTGCATTGCAACGCTGCCTCTGTATGAATGGGTGAATGTCGACTGGTAAATGTAAACACCTGTAAATAGGTGGATAAAGTGCTCTATAAATGCAGTCCATTTACCTTTGACAGTCTGACTTATCTTTAGTATCTTCTTATCTTTCAACTGAATTGATATGTTCTGGGTTTAATTATGTGCTTCAAGAGATCAATTGCTGATGTTTCATCAACCATCTATCTCCCGTCTACAATAAATACATCTCTGCCATCTCAGTCTTTTATTCATATCCAAAACAAAGTGTCCTTTTACCCAGCATCTTCAAAATAAATGACAGTAGCTCCACTCGTATGCCCTGGCATTCTACCAGGCGAAGGTACAAAGTACGTGTCTCTTTTAGTTGGGCTTTTTCCACATACAAAGATCACTACAACCATCCAAACATTTTAATTGTCAAACCTTCTTTAAATTATTAACAAGAAGAGGTGGACTGCATACTCTGCCTGTAAAGTGAGCATCATAAGTATGCAAATAATGGTTAAATAGATCCCATTCAAATCTCAAATGGTATATTTGCTAAAAATACTAACGCTTGCCTTCCCCGATGGCTTATTAAGTCTGCTGGCCTCACAAGTCTTGATTCTACCGCCCATGAAAGATTGGCTGCAGAAGGTCTTCAAAAGCATGTTACCAACACTCTTCGGGTGTTTCTCAATGTCAAGTACGCTTGCTTGGTAGCACATGTCTTCCGAGTCACTTGCTTCAGAAGCGAGGCAAGAATCCTTCCTGGCATTTGGAAAACAAACAGTGGAACAGGCGAGCAACTGTGCAGGTGTGCGTCATATGAGAGGCCCCGCCTCACATTTTCTGCCACAGATTTGGGGAAATTGGTCCGTGCGCAAAGCATTGTGGGGATTTTAAGACCGCGGAGTCTACACATGTGCAGCCTCGAAATGTCTCGCTACGAAGTACGCCGGGCTCGGTAGAATTCCAAGTATGCTGGACATTGGAACAGTCCTTCGGCGGCAATCGATGACGTAGTATGCTTGAAATAGTGGCTCTGGAGCAGCTTTACTCGAGATGGAGAAACACCCTCAATGTTAGTTCAAGGACTACTTTAGTTTAGAGGTACAGGTTCTGTATGCACTCAGTACCCTGTATCATGTCTCCTTTACCATAGCACCATCACAGCTCCACATATTACATTCCATTAGCAGACACTTTTATCCAAAGCAACAAACCATCAAGATACAGACCATAATGAGTGCTGGTGCATTAGTGTCGAATGGGCTAAACTCTTTAAGTGTTATGTTTTGTGTATGTGCTGGGTTTAAATGTCAGTGTACATCGTAACAGGTTAGCTTCTGTTTGCGACGGATGATATGTTTTAGCTGCGGCAGGAGCACGGGCTTCGAGTGTCCTCACACACAAACACACTGATATTGGTATAACTGAATCTCCCAGCAGGCTGTGTGGGTGCATGATGTATCATCAGTGCTCCGAGTTGGAGAGGGTAGTGTCACATAATTAAACTAGTGTGGGCACGTTCGCGTTAGCAAGTTGTACTGCATTATAAATTGAATATATATTGTTGAATCAGTGTTGAAACAGAACACTGCACTTACTCAGATTTAGGAACAGGTTTTGATTCAAACTTGTATTGTACTTAATCGTGTTAATGTCTCTGTTTCAGGTGGAGCAGTCCAAGGTTCTGATAAAGGAGGGGGGGGTCCAACTGACACTCACAATAGTGGATACTCCAGGGTTTGGAGATGCAGTGGATAACAGCAACTGGTAGGAGCATCATCAAGGTGTATCCAAATGTTCTTTATGCTCATCTGATTGGTTTCTCTGACTGATATCTCTTATCTCCCAGCTGGCAGCCAGTCATTAACTACATTGACAGTAAGTGTGAGGACTTCCTGAACGCAGAGTCCAGAGTGAACCGCAGATCCATGCCCGACAACAGAGTGCACTGCTGCCTGTACTTCATCGCCCCCTCTGGACACGGGTAGGTCTGCATGAGATCAGGTTGTAATGAGATGAGGTTAATATGACCAAAGGCCCAACAGTATAAGGCAGGGGTGCCCAACCTTTTTTGAACCGAGAGCTACTTTTAAAGTTGCCAGTCTGCCGAGATCTACCAGTCCAAATAGAGAGGCGTAGCCATTACTGACAGCCTACTACCTGGAAAATACACACTTCTACTTGTATAAAACTGACCTTTGTATGATTAATACTTCATAAAATACTGCAGATCCTTTATCTTACCTCTTTCTAATCTCCACACATACAAGTATTTAACTGAAGTTACACAACAGTGTTGTTGATACAGAGTTGGAGTTTATTCACACGTCACTACAGTGGGTAATGTTTTCAAGAAACATTGAACAGTGCTGCCACATATGACACAGGGAAAAAAGAAAAGACTCTGAACCCTTTCTTTGCCATTATATAAAAATAGTGTTGCTACAAAAGTATAAATGAGGCTTACTAATAAGACAACTCAGATCTGAAGCTACACAGGAATCTGCTGCCAAAGTGCAATAAAAAAGACAAAATTAATATAATCAAACAATGTTTTTGTTGCATTTTATTAGAGTATAAAAATAAATGCCTTTTTAAAATAGGATGCAAGCAACACTAGTTTCTTAACCTGAATTGATAATAGACTATAATCAATTTAAGTTTGCATTCTTATACCATTTTGTACAATAATTATAATGAATAAGTTCAAACTAAAACTTACAGCTGATTAATAACGGTATCTAACTTGAGTTTTTATTATATCAAAAACCTGTTGAAATGCTACTGTTATTTTTACTGTCCCCCAAAAGCGCGTCAGCAGCCTCCAGGAATGCTTCTTTCATAACTTCGCCGTCTTTGAAAGACTTCATGTGTTTCGTAAGAACGTGACTGACACGATAAGATTCTATGGTAGCAGCCTTGCTGTTGTTGTTGGGCCTGGTGGAAATGGACTGCTGTGCATTTAGCTGTCCTCTCAGGCCCCTCCCCTTTTGGAGCGTAGGGCAGAATTAGGAGGGAATTCCGTCTCGTAGCGTTTGTGCACTGTTTTGAAATGCCGCTCCTAAATTACCCTTCTTCGATAAAGCCACGCTCGCATTGCAGATGAGACAGATGGACTTATAATTGGAATAGATACAAAAATAATCATCCTCCCACTCGGAGTGAAAATTATATATTTTGGGCTTTTTTGCTTCTGCCATAATTGCGGTCTTGTGTGTGTGCGGACTGTCACTCCTGTTGACACGGACAAGTTGGACAACGTCAGCGAAATAGTGCACTGCCCACTGCCGACCAGCCACGCCCCGACACATGGGGTCTAGCCGGCCAATCACAAAGCTTTGATGCGTTCAGGTGCATTATTCTGGCACGGGAAGATTATGTTATAGGACATTAACGATAAAACAGAATATTGTTGTTCTATTTTTAGACACATCTCGCGATCGACTGGGAATCTCCCCGCGATCGACCGGTCGATCGCGATCGACTGGTTGGGCACCCCTGGTATAAGGCAATGATAAGATAAATGCTCTTTTTGGCATTTTGTAAGTTGCATTTCCCTACATGTCGGTGCCAAAAGTAAATGCCATGTTGGAACTAGAACATTATTTTAAAATATTTAAACCATATTGAACATGTCATTTTACTTTAAGCCCACATAATAGTATGTCTGTGTAAAATATTAAGCTTATCCATTCATTGTATGTTTTTCTTGCAAAAATACCTTTGGGTTTTGGACTAACAACATATTTAAAGACATCAACTTGGATATTAAGAAACTGATGGCCATTTTTTTACAATTGAACTTTTTATAGATCAAACAATAAATCTATGAATCTAAAAAATAATCAGCAGATTAATCGATAATGAAGATAATTGTTAGTTTTAGAATTGATTTACAGTATTTCCTGTTGAAACATGACATAAGAGATCAATCTCATTTTTTTCCAATGTACTTCATCGTTCTATCAGTCATTCTAATGTACAGTGTGTTCAGCATCCAGCATCCTCTGTCCTGAGACCTGGTAGTGCACAAGGAAACACTCCGAAAGAAACCCCATAATTATCAGGGAGACCGGCAGACATGCAATAGATGTCGCGTGTACAGATTTAAAAAAGATACTATGAACATAGACGATAGAAATGTTAATTATTTGAACCTATATAAGAAAGATCCAGGAGAGTGTCAAAACTCTTCCAGGTGCCACCCAAATATCTTGAGTTAGAAGCATGCATTGTTGGGACATAAGTGCAAACGGATAAAGGAAAGAAGGACGGAAAAGAGGGCTGATAGAGGAAAGATGCAAGTTGAACGTCCGAACAGTCTAAGCCTATAGCAGCTTGAGTAGGGGTTGGTTCTAAGCAAGCTAGAGCCAGCCCCGACTATGAGCTTGGAACTATAGTAAAAAGGTATGATTTGGTTGGTCAAGAATCTCCCTGAGCCAGCCTGTTATATTTGAAAGGTTTTATTAACAAACATTCATCTGTATTGGAGTGAAAGAAGTTCAGTTACATAGAATTCATGCAGCTTTTAAGATAAAAACCTGCAGCCACTCTGAAGTGAAAGGGTTTATTCAGCCTCCATTGTGTGTGTGTGTGTGTGTGTGTGTGTGTGTGTGTGTGTGTGTGTGTGTGTGTGTGTGTGTGTGTGTGTGTGTGTGTGTGTGTGTGTGTGTGTGTGTGTGTGTGTGTGTGTGTGTGTGTGTGTGTGTGTGTGTGTGTGTGTGTGTGTGTGTGTGTGTGTGTGTGTGTGTGTGTGTGTGTGTGTGTGTGTGTGTGTGTGTGTGTGTGTGTGTGTGTGTGTGTGTGTGTGTGTGTGTGTGTGTGTGTGTGTGTGTGTGTGTGTGGTGTGTGTGTGTGTGTGTGGTTATATAACCCATTTCTGATCATGCTCAGTAGAGTTCTGCTCTCCATCACTGAATCGACCAATCAGAGTGGAGCAGCCCACCGCCAAGCCTCTCATCTCAGACAAACCCACTCTCTCATCTCACAGTGTGTGTGTTCCCTTGGCATCACTAGAACATTCCCTGTTTGTCAGTACTGCTGCAGCACCCGCCTTGGTTAAAATGTGGAGTGATGTCTCCACATATCCCAGAATCCACCCATCTACTGCGGCTCAGTGATGGAGAGCTTTGATCCACTTAGATTGTGATCTCTGTAGTTTATAATGCTGCAGGGATTCGCTGAATGCAAGGTGTCTAAAATGTAATTCATTTAATAGCCAGAAAAGATGTGGACTTGATGCTTTCTGTTAATTAGTTATTAGTGGAATGCTGTGGCACAGCGTTCCACTATAGTTCTTCTAATCTTTATTCTTCCTCTACCTCTACCTCTTCTTCTTATTAGTGGAATGCTGTGCCACAGTATTCCACTAATTCTTCTAATCTTTATTCTTCCTCTTCTTCTTTCAACCAATACTTTGGCTCTCAATAACTTCAGCTTACTTTCAGCTACAGAAACCATTCAAATATCAAACTATTCAGCCTTTTCAGCTCATGATGGGAAAATATGTTATACTTTTTGAAATATTCAGCTTTTTAAACTCTTTTTTTAACATGGAACTCAATGGGAGGAACCTTCAAATCCTCTTTGATTTCAAAAGATTTCAGGAGCATAGTTAGTCTGGCCTGCTCAATTGCCTTCATCATATCAAACGGACCCACCGTTCTGGCCCAATAGTGATCTGAGTGACAAAAAGTCCACCAAGCTCCCAATAGACTCCCATGTTAAATTTGTCCGGAACTTTCTTCAGAACAGAGAGAAGTAAACTTTAGACAAACTGCTCCCATCTTCACATTTTACACACAAAACCCAAAGAAACAACATATATCAGTTCATTGGGGTTCCCTGATGCTCACTTTCTGGTCATTTGTTTATAGGAGCCATAGTTTTTGAACAGGTGGCTAAATTGATGGAAACCTTTGATCTCTGGGCTAGCACAGGTGTTATGATTATTTGTTCTGAGTAGGTGCTCAGCACAGAAACAAACACTGACAGACTGGACTTTAACAGACTGTCTCAGCCTATTCTTTTCTGTCTGATGGAGACTCCATACTGACTTCAACATGTTCCACATATTGTATACATTATTGGTGACGTTTGGTGTAGTTCAAAAGTTTGCAGCTAAAATATTCTGCTGCTTTCCCAAGCCTTTTTACTTTATTTTCTCTTCTTAATACACATTCATTCACGACTACTTACATCTGATATTTAACTCCAGCCTACTTTCAGCTGCAGAAACCATTCAACTACTACATTATTCAGCTATTTCAGGACATCAAGGCTATACATGTTGTTGTTTATACCTTTTTTAAACCTTTTCTTTTAAATATTAAGCTTCTTCACTATTTTTCCTACTCTTCCAGTTTAACATTTCACCTTTCAAGTTTTCAACAAAGTTATTGCAATGTATTTGAGCTGGAACAATTTTGATTCAAATCATTTCACTTTTCTGCATTTCTCCGCTAAGTTCAGCAACACACACTGACTTGGTTTCTGTAGCTAAAAGCATTTTCTGCTGGAAATGCATTTTCTAGTTGAACTGGTTTCTCTGAACATTTAGACATGTTTAATTTCCGTTCTTATCTTACATGTATTGGACAGCACCCACGTTCTTGTTTCTTGTTCCTGGTCTCATTGGTTTTGGGACTTTTACTTAAAAGTGACTTGGAACCTAAAGGAGGTTCATGTTAATGCCTGGTTCAAACATGTTCAATAATTAACATTGCTTTCCGCACAGCTTTGCATATGGTCTAATTTAAAAGTGCATAATGGAGTAAGTTAACTAAGCTTCTCTGAATTCCACTGCTCTTTAACTTATAAAATGGCTGTAGCACGCCCCACTCAATATTCAAACTATCTATTGATACACTGCCAGTACATGTTGAGGAAATAGTTAATTTCTCTGGGTAAATATATCTGGTATCAGGTTTAGCTTTCCTGTAACTCTTGCTAAATTAAAGTTTCTAACTGTTGAATCCTCTGAAACAGCTGCAGCATTGCGGTTTGTATGTGGTTATAGAGTTTTAAATGAAAAAGTCCTGCATTAGACTGCATGCTCGTGTTTTCAAGATGTGCGTGCTAAGGTGTTTTATACCCAAAGATACTGCAGTGAAAAGGCAGTAAAAAAATCGAGCAGTGAGTGTGTAGAGACGATTTATAGTTTAAATCTCAAAGTAATAACATTTGGAGATCACCACAGCCAGTATTCTTTACACCAGACACTGTGACTCCTGCTTTATCTAGGTCCCTGCAGGACTCCTCTGATGATGCACTGCCCAATCACCTTCATTATAACTATCAGGTTACCATATGCACAAGACTTTCTGGGATGAGTTAGTATCTCAATATCCCCTTCACACACTTATTGCTCACAAACACTCATACAAAACTATGCCCAGATATACTGTAGTATGGATCACGTGAACATGCATAAATGACAATAATTACATTCATTAGCATATCTGGCTACCAATAGTTATCTCCAGTCATATATTTACATCATTTTATCGCATCGTGCACTACACACTGCCTGCTTAACTGGGCACTGGTCCCAGCTGTCATTCTTTCAGAGAGAAGAGCCTATGGGAGTATGACAAAGACGGTCCCTCATCAGCCAAGTCATAAAAAAAACAATGAGTCGTCACCACAGAAGAAGAATGTATGAGACAGAAAGTCCCTCTCATCTGGCTCCTGTCTTTGCTGTGGGCGATGTGCAATGTCCTGGTGTGGTTGGCCCTCTGCTGGTGACCCACTGAACTGCATTACTTTAGATTCATCCTCATAAATGTAATGAACAAGTAGAATTGATCGCAGGTGTTGCCAGGAATGGACCAGTTGACTTCACTCAGTTCTTATGTTTTCTTTGTGTCTCCCCTTCAGTCTGAAACCGCTGGACATTGAGTTCATGAAGAGACTCCATGACAAAGTCAACGTCATCCCTCTCATTGCAAAAGCCGATACTCTGACCCCAGAAGAGTGCCAGCTCTTTAAGAAACAGGTATGTATTTGTGTGTGTCTGTGTCACATTCATGGGATAAGAAGCATAAACATAGTTTGCTACAATAGGCATTCAAGCTTTCTTTGAGATTTTAAATTTGATACCTTCTTATTTCTGTGGGTAAAGTTTGGAGCTAGGCATTTAGACTAGCTTAGATTGAATACTGGAAGCTAAAGATAGGATGCATTTGAGAGAGTTCATATATTATAAAGAAACATTACAAGCTACTGCCGCCTCATTAGTGAGATTTGGAGTTGTTGGTAGGCATATGTTTTAAATTTGGTCGAGCAAAGCCATTTCATCCTTCTTCCATCCTTTATGCTAAGCTAAGCTAATCACCTCCCTAGCTCCAAACTGTATGCACATGTGGTATCAATGGTATCAATGAAACTCAAATAATGGGTAAAGAAACAAGGGTTTTACAATTAAAGGTGAAATGTGAATATTTGTTTGATCTTTATATTTTTGACAGGCCAATGGTGTGTACTTGTTCTCTTTATTCTGATTACGTACTTCCTTTGTCAGATAATGAAAGAGATCCAGGAGCACAAGATCAAAATCTATGAATTCCCGGACACGGAGGATGACGAGGACAACAAGCTCATCCGAAAGATTAAGGTAATGGAGCATGCAGTCTTGTTAGTCATTTGAAACCTGATTTAAGGCCTTCTGATTGATCAAAGTAGGAAGACAGCCAGATATCAGTCTGTCCTGTAGGCTGTATCCAACTTCTGCCCCATTTCTCCACGCCAGGCAGCCTCTTTACAATACTGACCATCATCTTCACAGACAAGCATATTGAAGAATCTTCATTATGTATTGTCATTCATGTAACGCTGCCACAATCAACTCTGGAAATAGCAAACATGGTACTATATACGGTAAAATATTTCATCCGCATCATATTAATGTGGGCCCTCAGGGACATTTCTATAATTAAAGGCCTGCTCGCAGCAGCATTTGAAACTGTGAGATGACACAGATAGCCCAAAATGGAGGTAACATAAATAGCTCAATTGCACCATCCAGCATTGTAAACCCTGCTGCTCTATTGCAGTATAGTGTAAACTGCTCCACATACATTTGTATTATTTTCTGGTTTTCTTGAGGCCAGGTATGGTCAGGAGACACAGGAAGTAACCAATCAAACATTGGAAAACAAAGAAGTGTCATTGCAACATCCATAATGCAGGAAGCAGTGTTTTGTTCCCAGTGAAGTAAAGTTATTCCCCCCCCCACCCCCCAGGAGAAGATGCCGCTGGCAGTGGTCGGCAGCAACGTGGTGATCGAGGTGAACGGCAAGAAGGTCAGGGGTCGCCAGTACCCATGGGGCGTGGCGGAAGGTAGGTTCACTCTGGTCCTGAACCTGGCGAGACCATTTTGTGGTCAGACTAGATCATGAACCAGGAAATGAGTGTACACACTTTGATAGTTTGTATCGAGAAATGATTCTGTATTTTGTTTCTGTTCGCGTCTTAGTCAGACAATGACAAATTAGAGAGGAAGACTGAAGCAAATTGGCTTTACAAATGTTCTGTGTTTAAGATAAAAAAATAACAGTGTTATCTTTATCATGAAGAATTAAGCATGATATACCTGAGAGTGAGAGACAGTGTTTTACAATGCCCCCTGTATCCACTGAATGTATTCACTACCAGGTAATAGGGCTGTGCATCTTCACTGGTCTCACGATTCGATTAGATTACGATTATCCTGTCAACGATTCGATTCAATTCGATATCCCGATGCATCACGATTCATACCAATGCGTTGCATCCTCAATTTTCTATATTACTGCACATGGCTTATTTTTCATCAATGCATACATCAGTAAATACATATGAACTCTCTTTTTATTATTTAGAAAGTGCTTCAGAAATCAATAACATAAATGTCTTGACATAAACCAAAATAAATGAATTGTATAGGTCTAGCCTCCCTATATCTGTGTGTGAAGTTGTTCCATCCTCAAAAACAAAACACTAATGCTTCTGCAGTCTAGCTGCAGCTTCTAGCAACGGTCTGCTGTTAAAGAAAGGACACTGAATGTCCTGAATGTGGCATCACACACAGGACTTGAGTCTGAACACAGCAGACAACAGGAGTATTTACAACAGCATATAACAACTAAAATACTGCATGTGGGTGCACACTTACATTCTCTGTCTTACTGTTGCATAAATCCCATGAATGTATGAGATTAAATTAGCTTCATTATATCTCAGTGATTAAGTGAATAATAAAGTTTCTATTGGGTCACTGTCAGCCTGTCACTCATTATTTTCAGGGAGGGGGCGGGGTTTGGAGGAACGGAGGAGACGGTGATCGCGGGAGCTTTTTTCCTCCTGCCTTCACAAACTTTACACACGTATATATCGTCTGAAAATTGCTAGAGGACATTCATACTTTGCAATCCAAGACTTAATTAAATCCAACCAAAACCTGACAAAAACATGAACATAAATCCCTGTGTCTCTGAGCCGCAGCGACACGGAGTGATTCAGAGCGGGTCCTTCTGCTGTTGGTTCTGGACTGGTGTTCTTGTGTTGGTGGATAAAGCAGACTGCTCCGTGTTTGGTGTTGCTGTGCCGCTGTCACGTCTGTTCCCTGATCTCTGCGTCACCGACCGATTTGATATTAAAGTGACAGAAAATAAAACGTTATAGTAAAGCCGCGGCCAGAAGATCAGGAAGCAACGTTACTACGCTATAACCGATTATCTTCCGTCACTGCATCGAGACCGAATCGTCCGCATCGCAATGCATCGTAGAAACGATTATTTGCAACACCCCTACCAGGTAATAGAGTACATATTTATCCTTTACTGGGAATGAATTGATGTCAAATGCAACCTGTTAGTAGAAAAGTAGAGAAAGTAGATATTAAGTGTTTTATTGCCGCATAGCACATAATCGTAACACACCTGCTGGAGTTTCATTGAATTAGTATTGAAATAAATATTTATTTTAGCGAGAACAAAGAATATAGTTGAATTTGTAAGTCAAACAACAATGAATACTCTGATTTGAACCATCAATTTAATAAGGTAGTACCAAGACAACACTTGAGAGGTACAGCTTTGTACATGACACAATTAGTTAGCTGTGTAATGTTTGTTAAACCTTGTACATCAGATTGCTTTTTGAGGCTTTGAGTCTCGGTGGAAGATACCAGCATTTGAGGATCACTTCTCGATGACTGGCATATTGTTGTTTTTTCAGTTTGTGAGATTAACAGTGACAACGAGACATTGCAAAATCAGCCTTAAGCTTGTGGAATAGATTATTCATCAACAATTGTGTTTTATTTGATATGTTTGTGATCTGTTCCCAAGGTAAAGAAAATGCCTTGGTAAGATGGTTTACTCAATGTTTTCAAATGTGGTGAATACACGAGGGAAACATGTCCCTAAAGCCATGGTTGAAGTTATCTTAGTCACCCACTTGTCTTCACTCAACATGAAAACACATGGATCTTTGGTATTGTGGGTCTTCAGCCTCGAAAAGGACTCTGAAAAGAACGTAGGTAGTGCATTATGGGATATGTTGTTTAAAGAACTGACAGTGTCACTACCAGCTCTGATGAACTGCTGTTGCCCTGACTGTTTCTTTAATTTCCTCTGATGTGCTGTGTATATCTGAGTGGAGTTGTTGCTCTGTGGTTGACCGTTGATCAGTCCCTCACTTTTTCATTCTTTCTTTCTCCCTTCTTTTTCTGTCTATTCTTTTCCATGACTGACAGAGGGCATTTTTGGTAAACCAAACCATCTTTCTCTTAATTTCAGCCTCATTCCCCCCCCCCTCCTCTTCCTCGTCCTCCTCAGTGTCCTCCAAACTCCCCCCCCCACTTCCCTCCACTTTTTCTGTTGCTGTGCTGTCTCATCATTAGGCTGATGGTCAAACCAATGCTCTAATCAGACCTGGGCTTACGTACCAAAAACACATCGTATTTGGAAATATTTGGACACATGGATATATTGAAATGTGAATATATTTTCTTTAAACATAGACATCAAAACTCTTCATGTGTTCTCAGTAGAATGTTGGCCCCAGTGCTCTGCTGAATTAGCCTCTACAGCTAGCTTAGTCCAATGATTGCTAAGGCTAACAGCAACTATTAATAGTTTATTTAATAGTTCAAAGATAACTCAAGTAGCTGAAGTTGAGGGGTTCATTTTTAAATGAGATGGTACTAAGACTATACACAACAGCTGAGATTCTGCCAGTTCGGTATTATATTGTCCCAATGGCCTTCATTTACGTCCATTCACTGAACAGCAGTACATGGCCATCCTTAAATCATTTGGCGTAATTTAAGGGCCTTACACCCATGAGCTAGGCTGCTATAGAGTGGAGCAGTGATGACGTATTTATATAGGGAGACTCGTAGTTGGCATCACAAGGGCTCCCTCGACAAAAAGCAATGGGGTTTCCATTGGATTATGGAATATTGTAGAAACAATTATCTGTGGAAAACACACGTTTATGATACTTACACGTTTTGTTCAGCAAGATAATCACCACTTTATGATTGTTATGGTGTAAATGCAATCGCCAGAAGTAAAATGCTAACATTAGGCTATAAACAAGCGACATCGCAGTTATATGACGTCACCACCACTAAGCTAAAGGCGGTTCATTTTTGATGTGATGACGTTTAGCAGATTCATTTGCCAGCAACTGCTGTTTTTACAACACAAAGAAGATTCTGACATTCTCCAGTTGGGTATTTACTGACGTAGTTCATGTCGTAGAACACAACATTAAAATCTATTAAGCTTATGTACTACTTATTTCAGGCCTCTAACCAAAAACCCATTGAATTTGAGACGAGGGAGCTCGAATGGTGCAAAGGTACCACTCTATTATCAACTTATTGTAGTTATTCCTAGACAAATTGATATTGGCAAGCAGATAACAATTCCAAATCTACCTTATGCAGGGGTCATTTTAAAACAGTTTTGCATACCAATGTCTCCCTTAGTACTTATATTGGTCACAAACAAGATATTTAAACAATCTCTACTCTTCCTATTGTTTGTTATAATAGTGGTTCTGTTAGCGTGGGGTAATCTACCAGAGACACATGAATGATTCTGTTTGTTGTCTTTGTTTTCCAGCACTGAATCTGATCGTAAACCTGTAACAAAAGCTCACTGTATTGTTTCAAAGGATAACTCCAATCCTTAACAATATGGAAGTTGTTTGGATAGCTTTGACGGACCTTTCTATCAGTTACTCTCATAGTAATTACTGATCTTTGGGAACATGATGACATCACACGACATGAATCTCTGATGCAGCAAAAACTCCTAAGCAGGTTGTGAACAAACCAATATTTCATCCAGACTATCTAGCCCACTTTCTATGGATGGATGCTAAGTAAAAAGCTAAAGCACTTACCTGCATGTGCAGTGTGGGATGATTTTACCATTTGTCTTATTTTTCTAATGTTTTGCTCACCTGAGGGTTTGTTGAAGTCTGACGTACGACTTTTCTTGCTGCATCAGAGTCTCTTTTGTCACTGTGTTCCCAGATCTCGGTAATCAACTTGAGTTAGGAGTTTAAAGTAATATGTCCTGGTCGTCTTGATGGCCAAGGTTGTAATACACTTCAGTGATCCGGCTAGGTGCATTTGATCACACAACATCTGCCTGGTGTTGTCAGCAGGTTTAAAGCCTTCACACACTGGCTTGTTGGCCCAGGTCTGATGCTGAATAGTCATGGAGAAAACTAGAGGCTGTTTGGTGCTGAAGCTGCAATACTCTCTAACGCTGCTGTGGTTCCCTGCTTTGCTCCTATGGTATAATGGCACTCTGTTGTACCGTTGATCAGTCCTGCTTCACCACATGTTGTCATGGTGCAGACTGAGGACTGTACAGGCGTAGCTGTGTCACTGGACCAAGGACTGGGATCCACCCTCATAACGCATTGCTTAAAGATTCACTATAGAGCATTTAATGGTGAGCTAGCGTTTTTCAATAGAGGCATGTAACGGCTCATTTAAATCATCAAGGTAACACGTGTTATGTTATGAATTCTCACTCATTAGCATATGTTTATGTGAGACTTTAAATATAGAAAGATGCTGAACCAGGTGTGTGCTCTTGATTCATTAAACCAATGCAGTTCATCATCATGGCCTCAACACACACTGCTAATAGATCCAGCGCTCAGGCTCAAAACACCTGATGGACCCAGAGAAATGTACATCGAAGACCAAGATTGACAATTAAAAGCTAAAACGATTTGTGTGTCCATCAGGTATTTTCTGCCATCCATCAACAAATAAGAGCTGTATACTATATTTTAAAACCTTTTTTTTCCTACGACCATTGACCCCACTTAGCTCCTTCACTTGCACCCCCGGCTGGTCATGCGTAGATCCTCAGATAACACCCCCCCTCCAACCACCACCCTCTACAAGTCCTACTTAGTCAGTCAGTTTGGACACATGCAGGTTATGGTGTTGATCCGGGCCAAATCTGGGCCAGGTCTGAGCCAAAACAAACCCAGCTGCTCCAGACCCAGATTTAGCCCCCCCGCAGGGCGCAGACAGTAACTGAAAAACCGTACCCCTCCCCTCCGTCAGAGCTCCCTCCTCTAGAAGAGACAGAAGGTCAATGGCTGGCTTGGGAGGCCAAGGGGCGGGACAACATAAGTTTCATCAATGGTAAGGTATCTCCTGAATCCCTGATGATGATTGACTGCCAGCAGGCTGGAGGCTAACCAATCAGGAGCAGCGTGTTTGATGAAGAAGAGGCTGGATCCACCACACACATCCTCAGCAGCAGTTCATCTTTTACAAAAGCACATCTGACCGTGTAACCTTGTCTTTGTTGTTAAGATGAAAACTCACAGCCATCTAACTGAACCATGTTGACATGAGAGTAGTTCTGTTTACTGTTGTTTGTCCTAACTATGTGGCGTCAAACAGTGAAAGGCTGTGATCGATAGCAGGCGTTTTTATTTTTCTCTTCTGAATGACTACTGTATCTGTAATTACAAGAGGCTCTCTTGTACTGATGAACCAACCAGTAGTGTAAAGTAACTAAGTACTGTACTTAAGTACAATTTTGAGATACTTTACTTGAGTATTTCCAGTTTTTGTTACTGTGTACTTTTCCTCCACTACATGTATTTAATACCTTTAGTTACTTCACAGATGTGGATGAATGATGTGAAATATAATCAAGTGTTGAATCAGACTTTAGTTCCACCTGGAGTAAATCCACCAGCTACCCTGCAGTATACAAAGTCATTCAGACTAGCTGCACCTTTACCAGCTTTGAGAACACTTTCATGATCAATCTTTATAAAACATATCATATATATTATTCTGAAATGGACCAATCTGCACAACGACTACTTTTGTATGTTTTGATACCAATACTTTTGTACTTTCCATGAGTAACCTTTTGAATGTAGGACTTCAACTTGTAACAGAGTATTCCTACACGCCGAAAATCGAGGCTATTGTATGACAATTAAAGTCACTGCTTTATGTCACATGACTTAGCTCAGCCTCGCCCTGATCGAGCCAATCTCCATTGAGAAAGCAAGCATTTCAAAAAGTGTTTTGCTTATTTCCGCATCCCTTTGATATGATTATTTCAATACAATCACAGCAAAATATGAGCCTTTGAGGTTATACAGTGTAGGAAACAAGATGGATAAGCCGTGAAATACACTGAGCTGTGTGTGTGTGTCGAGGATGACTTTATGAATCCAGACACAACAGCAAATTGTTTTCGGACATGTGAAGATAAACAAATTAAGCTTAACATGAAAATAAATGTTATGGGTCCAGTGTGAACGCACCAGAGGGCAGACTGAAGGCTCGAACATGCTCTCTGTATCAGCCTCCTCTCACTCACCTGGTTTGCCTTTTTAAAGTCCTATGTGATCATGGCCTGGCGTCTCTTTGCTCTTATTGCTGTACAATAACTCATACTGTACAATACCTTCATTTACTGTCACTTCTCTTAATACCTCCTCCTTAGAACTGATGAATGTGTGAACCTTACATACTGAGTGTGTGTTTGTGTACAATGTGGTCTCCATAGAGATTCATATCATGAACTTTAACGTGGTGATGCTTTGCACATATTTTGTATATTCTTTTTTATATTGTAAGTACAATTAATTTGATCTATTATGTAAATAACACACAAACAACTGTTGTTGATTTTACTCACCAAAAACGATATATATAGTTTATGCTTGGACTATGAACACAGCCAGTGACTCTAGCAGCTGACAGTTATTTACACAGTTCATCTGGTTATTGCAGTTATTTAGCACCTTGAGACCAGAAAATAATGATTCTGATTATGTCTAGAGAAGGGTTCATGTACACTAATGTTTGATGTCTGTGTCTCCCTCCCTCCCTCCCTCTCTGCCCCCCCACCCCCCCCACCCCCCCCTGTGCTTCAGTGGAGAACGGGGAGCACTGTGACTTCACCGTGCTGCGCAACATGCTGATCCGGTGAGTCCACGTTCTGTTCAACTTTACATGTAGTTCCACTACATGGCCAGGGAGAACATTTTAGGAGGAAGGGAAGAGGGACGCAGATAGTTTTTTATTCAAACTTAGTTGTTTTCAGAATGTTACGCAATAGGGTCATGCATCTATTTATGGCTGATTGGATTTAATAACATGATAGTGAAAAAAGGTAGTTTTAGCCACCAACTCATCCATTGATGTAAAAAGCATGTCTTGCAATATATTTCATTAACAGAAACCAGTTTTTCTGTCTGTTTATCCTGCTGCTGTGTTAGCTAAACCTCCAACAATAACATCAAAACCTGACTTGAGTTCTAGTGACAGTGAATCGTCGCCTGTGCATGTGACCATGGGCTCTTCCGGTCTGCATTTAGAAGAAGAACTGATCTGCAGGGGATTGGACATGAGAACTGGCATTAAGAGCAAAATCACTTTATAGCCAATATTCTGACTGATGCTCTTGTTTTCTTATGTAGGTCATAGAGAGGCATACATATTCAATTGAGTTTCATAGCCAGTTAAACAACTTGAATCTCTTGAAGGCAACTTGAGGCTAACTTGTTCTTTTTTTTATACCCAAAGACGACGACACCACTGTTCTGCAATAACACTTGTGTGTAAATTGGAATAACTTTTACATTTTTAATTTGAAATCTAATGTCCATGCCCTTTATCTAATAGTGTTTCTTTTTTTTTTTCTATCTTCGCTTGTGCTGTAACAATGTAAATGTCCCCAGAATTTAGTCCCCTTATAAACAAAATTAATATTTCTTCTGGAGTTCTGTTTCTATTTTCTCTCCAGCCTCCTGCAGACTTCCTGTACCTGATTGCTTTATGTTCTCCCCCTTCTATAGGACGCATATGCAGGACCTCAAGGACGTCACCAACAACTTCCATTATGAAAACTACCGCAGTAAGAAACTGGCTGCTGTCACCTGTAATGGAGTGGACACCGCCAAGACCAAGGGACAGCTCACCAAGTACGCCTCAGAACTTCAATAATACCATCCTCATTTCAATGATAGAGAACACATTACTTCACAGCTTGGTGTCACTGCTTTACTTAAGAAAGATCTGACCCCTCTCTTTGCTCTGGTCCACAGGAGCCCCCTGGCCCAGATGGAGGAGGAGCGCAGGGAGCACGTGATGAAGATGAAGAAGATGGAGGCAGAGATGGAGCAGGTGTTTGAGATGAAGGTGAAGGAGAAGAAGCAGAAACTGAAGGACTCGGAGGCTGAGGTGGGTCTCTCTCTGTGTGTGTTGTGTGTGTGTGTGTGTGTGTGTGTGTGTGTGTGTGTGTGTGTGTGTGTGTGTGTGTGTGTGTGTGTGTGTGTGTTGTTGTGTGTGTGTGTGTGTGTGTGTGTGTGTGTGTGTGTGTGTGTGTGGTGTGTGTGTGTGTGTGTGTGTGTGTGTGTGTGTGGTGTGTGTGTGTGTGTGGTGTGTGTGTGGTGTGTGTGTGTGTGGTACAATATGTTCATCGTCTCCATTCACGACGGTGTCCACCTTGAGTCCATTGATGAACATCTCAAAGCCAAAGGACTCTCCTGCAGCCAGGGGGGCTGGGAGGCGAGGAAAGACTCTCCCTTACCTTCATTGCTGGTCTCTATACCATGGTGCACATGAATGGGCCCTAAACATTGAAACAGAATACTACCAGAAACTATACAAAAAGTATTTGATTTGAATTCAGAGGATGAGCAACATAGAAGGAAATGTAACTTTAAGCCTCAGTTGTGTATGTCTGTAGTTGGCGTTAAACTGTGGAATTCTTTACCAAAAGGTTTAAAGGGCTGTATGAACATCTTCAGGTTTACCAGAATGTATAAAGAATAATTAGACCGTATGAAGATGTCAGGTAACCTGTTTCTCTGATGGTAGATTGTTGTGTTGACTTTAGATAGTGTTTCAAGTTACTGTAAGTCTTGGTGGTAAGCAGCTGTGATCGACAGTCCATCTATTTTTGAGTAAGGGGGCAAATAAGACCTTCTTCTCACTGCTCCTTTCCGTCATGGGCTGCAAAAAAATAGCTCAAAGTCTACATGTTGTATTATAATAATTGCCGTGAGTGGAATAAAACAATATATATACGCCTGACATGCCGGCTACAGCCACAATATATTATGTCCAGCTTGAAATATCAGCCTGAAGTATAAGGCCTATATAAGGTATACAGTTTAAAGGTCAACAAATACATTTATTTATCAGGTATCTATTAAGATCTTTAGAATAAATGAGTGAGAATGAGCAGAGGGAGGCTCTCAGACAGCTGTAGCAGCATGTGGGGCTCACAGCTGACGCTCCTCACATCACACAGCAGGTTCAGAAACAACATCCTGTCTGACGAGCTGCATCCAAACTGTCAGAGCCTCAGCTCATCGTGTTCTCCTGAACTTCTGCTCTGTGCCCCGGGTACAGTTGAAGGCTGCATTAGCATCGTTTTAGGCTACAGTATTTAGTAAGAAGACAGAGACTTTGAGGAGACTGTGTGATTTAGATTGTGCCTGTTTGTTTGAACTTATTGCTATAAACTTTTTGTATGCATTTCATATGTTTATTCTAAATTCACGTCATTCTTTGAGTCTGCAGTGTTGTACCTGCATCAATCACATCAGCTCCAAAACGCTTAACAATTAGTAACCTGCATTTCAACTATGTAACAGTAGAACAAATAGCCTAGCATTTTTCAGTCATGAACCTCTTTAGCCTAGTTAGCAGTTTCTATGGGTGCGTTTCACTTCTCTTATTTTTCATTTCCTCGCTCCTCGGTCTCCGTATCACCGGAAGTTGATTTGTCTGCGCCATCTTGTGCTGGAGGATCGAGGAGCGATAATCGAGGAGCTACCAGACCATCCCCCGGTGAAATCCTCAGACACTCGCCCCACCCCCTTACTGTGTATCGCTCACTGATTGGACGATGCAGCGCATGCACTGATCTGGCTGCTGTCAGACGATCAGCTGTGCGGCGTCATCACAAACGGACGTCGCTTCACGTGACGCTCCGGAGGAAAGGACGTCCCATTGCTCTTAAAACTCATTTCCCTGCTTCTCGTGGTTTCCTTGCGTCCCTCCATGCTTCCCAGGTGCAGTGGTTCTCAAACTTTTTCTGTCAGGCCCCCCCTTTGGAGGAAAAAAAAGTTGGGCCCCCCCCGACACAAATAGTCAGGCTCAGTGGTGGCGCCAGAGATTTATTTTGGGGTGCTGTGGGGTAGCTTGACGTTTCATAGAGGGTGCTCAAACATTTAGGGTTTCCCATTAATGTACCGGGCGCTACAGTGGAATGTTCTACTGCAACACTCCCCACGCATATACACAGTGTGACAGTTACAATGAAGGCTCAATAATCAGCTCACGGCATATAGGTGTAAGCAGGGGTCAAGTGCTATTTTTATAGGTGGTGTGTGGACCTCACATAAATCTTCCATTTAAAGTGATGTTTAAAACTCAGTTAATGGGGCTCATTCACTGGAGCTTCCACAAACAACAATCAACTTAATTATTACATTCAAATGATGTACATTATTCAAGTTTACATTCACTTTGGATAATAACACGGGAGAAATGAGCGGAAGCGCTCTCTTTCCCCCCTCTCTCCCTCTCTCTCCCTCTCTCCCCCCCTCTCTCTCTCCTGACAGCCTGTCAGTATCTCATGCAGCTCACTGATCCAGTAATGAGTGACCCAACAGTGAAGAATAAATATATGTATAACTAGTTTAGCTTGTGTGTGTTTTCCACTCACCGGTCCGGCGGGCGGAGCTGCAGGACTTCTGCTTCACACACGTTGCATACCGCTATTTTACTGTCTTTTTCGGACACCTTAAAATAATGCCAGACCGGTGAAGCCATGTTGGCGAGCTTGTTTTGCCGCACACAGAGAAAAGTGTCATGTATTTTACGTCATGCGATCGGCTCTCGCGATCGGCATGTTTAGAGAGCACCGATCGATCGGTAGAGAGTGAGTATCGACCGATCTCGATCGGTCCACCGATCTCGATCGGTGACCGATCGATCGGAGCATCCCTAGTTATAAGTAATAACAATCTCTGTGGTGTTTAAATGTATATGTAGCAACATTAGCCGTCCCCATCGTGTTGTACCTGCAGCGCCGCACTGAGGCTTTCAGAAGACTGCATGATTTATGTTCCCAAAAAGCCTTTATATCCAATGATTTATTGTAAAACAGCTGCTAATCCAGGCAAACTCCAGTTGTCATAACTACTACAGTGTTAAATGTCTTTGAATTGCCCATGAAACAGTATTTATGCAAACATTACATTTCTCCACAGTATACTCTAATCACTGTGCATTTCATACTGACTGGCTGCCAAGTCATTAGGATGAAGCAGACAGCATAAGCAGACAATCTCAGTACATTTGCCAGGATGAAAAAATGCAATAATGAATGAATCTGGACCTTCAAATGGATGCGTCGACTGTAGAATCTTTAGAATGAATGTTAGCTACAAATAAACTGCAGTCTATAGATGTAATGAACAGCTGTAGAGAAAAGACAATGTGGCTGCAAAGAAGATAAAGGGATGACAGTATCAAATAAGAGTGTGAAAAGGAGGAAGAGACCTGTATTGTGTGCTATTGAAGAGGGAATACAACTTGAGAGTAACTGATGTTCGTCCCTCAGCTGGAGCGACGCCACGAGCAGATGAAGAGGAACCTGGAGGCGCAGTACAAAGAGCTGGAGGAGAAGAAGCGGGTGTTCGATGACGAGAAGCTCCACTGGGAGGCTCAGCAGAGGATCCTGGAGCAGCAGAAGCTGGACGCCTCCAAGTCAGTCTCACTGCTACTATTTCACTCATTCATCTCACGTCTGTTGTACAAAGCTATATTTATTATTAGCATTATTAGGCCAGACTCCCCCCAAGCCTTATCCATCATAGACTATGACAGATGGAATCCATCCCATCATTTTATGGATGCCCTTTTTACAGAGAAACTGCCATTCTATGTTGAATTCTCTACAGACACGACACACTCTGTTTTCACTTGTTTTCACTCTGAGAAAATTCCTGCACCCTTGTGGTGTTACCATGGTTACCAAATCATCTTGGATACATACAGTCATAAGGAGCACTTCCTGTAGAGATCACCATCAGCAGATGCATTTATTGAAATGTTGTTTTTGAATGAATGCTAAACACACTGCTCCAAGGTAACACACAGCAACACTAGGTACACAATAATACAAGATAAAACATGGCCTCACAAATAAAGAGGGGTCATAAGATCATTGCAAAGTCATGTATGTCATGCACACAGCTGTTTCTATCAAAGGCTTCTAATATATTATATGGCAGATCTAGACCAAATCAATATATGTAATCTCGTTATCATATTCTCCCCTTTTATTGTGGTGAGTGCGAAGGCAATGTATTCATTTCAAGTGTTGGGGTCAAAATACTGGCCAAAGAAATGTGCATAGAATTTGACCAAAATAAATAAATGTATGTATATTTTGTAAAGATTTGGTTGAAGATCCCATCAACACGTAAAGCTCAATAATGTTTCCCCCTGTAACATTCCTTTTCTTGTTCCCCACACAGGACGATGGAGAAAAACAAGAAGAAAGGAAAGATCTTCTGAAGAGAACGATTCTTCACTTTGACAAACTCGGTTTTCCTTCATCCCCTCTGAAGTTCACATGTACTGTGGCCCTCCAAACACACACACACACACACACACACACACACACACACACACACACACACACACACACACACACACACACACACACACACACACACACACACACACACACACACACACTAACAGATATACACTCCACAACATCCCTCTGTGTTACATTTAACATGTACCACCTGTGACGGATGGAAGACACACACACACGTCTCTCAGCAGGGTTACCGTACCTGTTGAAACTTCTTGTTTCCATGGGGAATGCATGTTTTTGTGAAATTCTATTTTCCTATATTTCCTGACAAAGAGGAGACCCTTCCTCTGAGCTACAGTACAACACGTGGCAGGGACCACCCATAGCCATGTGCTCACATTCCATAGATCTGCAGGTAGACGTACTGTCTCTCTTCTTTGATTCTTCCCAAAAACAACATAACACAGTACTGTATTCAAACACTCTGTCATAAAGACCTCATAAGAGTGTGTTAAGAGAAGGGAGAGTGTATGTGAGTGAAGGGAACTGCGTCAGGAGCGGGGGGGGAGTCAGGTGGGAATAAGGCCCGGTCATAGAGAGTCAAAATAATCAGCAAATCTTTTAAAAGTGGAATACTACAATTTGCCAGCACTGTGAACCCGGATATATTGAGTACCCCAAAGTGTTATGTCAGAAATTTATCGTAGGGTCCCTAGCACATAGAAACTGCCGGATGCTAACCTGCATATGTTGTGCAATTTGCACATAGACATCAGTTGCATTCATTAGCTTATGCAGACATAGATAAAAGATGGCTTGGACAATTTTGGTGTGGTTTTGGAGGTTATTGAGGATGTTGAATACTTTTCTGACGTTTTTAGGATCATAAGTGGCAGTTTTCAGCCCCTTAGAACTTTCAAATCGACCCAAAATTAATCAAAATCAGTCCACCGGGACGTCAGAAATGGACTCAACATCCTCATTAACCTCCAAAATCACTCCAAAGTTCCCCGAATCAGCCAAGCCATTTTTGTATTATTGTCTGCATTTGCTAATTATTGCTAATTAATGTAGCATTGTGCAAATTGCCCAACATGCAAGTTAGCATCCAGCAGTTTCTATGTGCTGGGGACCTGAACTATACATTTCTATCATAAAACGTTTGGGGTTCTCAACTTCTCCGGGGTCACTCTAGGACTCTATAAGAGCTGGCAGATAGACTCACCTGGTAATGACTACATGTAAGGCCAGTCAAGAAACCTCTGTTACTGAAGAGCTTAATACTTACGTGTTATTGCTATTTGGTCAGTTTCACTTTTTAGCAAATACGTCTTTGGAATAAATGACCATAACTTACCGAACTTATTGTCCTTTTTCCAACGTTTTTGTATTTTAAAAAAATGTTTTGCTGCAATGCTTCCTGTCTCATAACTGTCTTCAGGACATTCCTCTTTTATGGAGCAGTTTTCACTCCAGCAGGGAGATCAATCAAAAGCTAATTGTAGCGGTGAAATAACAAAAGTGGGGCACCAGTAAGCAAATCTTGTGATGGGGAAATTATCCAATCTGCAGGCAAGAACGTCCTCTTTGTTAATTTATTTCGTAATTATCCAAATATCCAACATATATAGAACAATTAATTCACCTGTGGCTTTTCCTGTGTTTTCACTGCCCCAGCAGCATTTTGATTTTGAGTTAAATGTTTCGTTTTGTTTTCTTATTTCGCTGCTAAAAAATAAAAAAAACATTTACCTATACTGGTGTAAAACAGCTGATCAACTCCAGCAGCTTCCTTTATGTTGGACTCGAGCACTACAGCGTACATTATAGTAAACTAAAGGGAAAGATATGCCCCCATGGAAGCAAATCCACCAATCAAAAACATTTCCAGCTTAAATGTGGGCGGGGCCGGGCCTTCAGGCAGGCTTTCCAGTGGTGTGTGTGTGTGTGTGTGTGTGTGTGTGTGTGTGTGTGTGTGTGTGTGTGTGTGTGTGTGTGTGTGTGTGTGTGTGTGTGTGTGTGTGTGTGTGTGTGTGTGTGTGTGTGTGTGTGTGTGTGTGTGTGTGTGTGTGTGTGTGTGTGTGTGTGTGTGTGTGTGTGTGTGTGTGTGAGCAGTGTTGTAATGATGCTGTGTTTGAAGTCATAGAAACTGCAGGGAGATGCGTATCATGCAACAGCAGAAAGGATTCCATGCAGTGTGTGTTTCCCATAAAGACATTATGCAAAGCCTCATTGGCGTCTACAACTCTACAGGCCACCGTGATTACAAAGGTGTTTAATATAGTGATTCAAGTGATGGATGTTGTCATAGAGCTGAACCCTGTGTGTGAAGGGACGATTCATCAAAAACAAGAAGTATTCCTGTTCCTTTCTCCCTGGAAAGTTAACTGTTTGGAGGACTTAGCCAAGTCAGCTGTGTCTCTGAATTTATTTTTGGAATATTACACTATAATATTATTCATAACGGCTTCCTCAACAACAAAACATTCCCCTTCTGATACTCTCTCAAATGATCTACAGTCCACATCGAAGTCAATTCACAGTCAGCCATAGCGATGTGTTCCAACCTTTTACTATACCTTTCCAAGAGTATAATGTTTATTTTCATATGATGATGATGATGATGATGATGTTGTTAATACTATATGTAAGGTCAAAAAACGAAATCCCTTGTGGTTTTCTTAAGACTCGTATAGTTATGTTCTTTTTAGTATAGTTTTCAAAATGCCTGCAGTCTTCATGTTGCATTTAAAGACAAAATGCTAAACCCTTATACCTTATCACATAAAATATTACCTTTATGGATTTGATTGCTTTTATTGTGTACATACTGGAGGCTGCTCGGTGGCCTTTTTCTTTAGTTTTTTCAGATGATATGCCAGGAACAGAACCTGTACTCAGATCAGAACCTATGATATACTTGTCTTAAGAATACACAAATACAGTACATTTCTTTACATGTATACACACACACATACTGTATACATCCATGCCAATGAGTACCCTTTCTCAGGACTGCTGTTATGAAGTCCAGAGGAAGTCATGCTGTGCTCCCTACAAGTTCAAAATGTGATTTCTTTTTTAAATGCTTGTGCACCACTTGCCCTTGGAATACACACCACAAGTTAAGATAAGTTTAGGTGATTTTTGTTGTTGTAATATTATCCTTTTTTTATATATGTACACTCTTTACTGCTTCTCTTCTTTGTTCTGTCTCTAACTGTACATGGTTAATAAAGTTGACTTGGTTATGCTTTAACTCATGCGAGTGAGTATTCTTCCCTCCTGTTGTCTTCGGGTCAAATCTGACCAATGTACTACTTTCATCAATCATAACTTTTGGTTTTACATTCGATTGCATTAAGGCTTTATATATATCCTTCACTGTAGACATCTGAACATATACAATTGCTGATCACCACTTTCATTGCATTTTGGATGATTTAGTGAACTGTGTAACACCATGGTGTTCCCGGTCATAAAGAAAATGAATTAGTAACCATCCGGATCAGATCAAACACACACACACACACATACTCTAGATGTGTGTCCCCCCCCCCCCCTTATGTGCCCAATCCCCCCATGTGAATCACACCTGGCACTCAAACACACACAGAACAATTTGACACATTTCCCGCTCATATGTGCCCCTCCCCCCACATGGATCACACCTGGCACACGCAATACATGTTCAGTGTCTATTCTTTGTATATTTACTGCAGTTGTTCATGTGTACCAGTAGTCTGATACAATATGTACAGTTTGAAAGGGTTAATGGTTTTTGTGTTAATGTAATAGCAGTTAAAACAGGACCGGTCAAATTTGACCGCGAACACCAAAGTAAGGGGGGTGGAAACGAAGACAATAGGAGGGTTAATTGAATAGGGATATATTAAAACATACCTATATGCACAATACAAACGTGTAAATCAGGGGTGTCCAAAATGTTTCACTGAGGGCCACATACAGAAACATTTACGAAGATCTAGGCCCCTCACTAGAGGTGAGGTATATTGCCTCTTAACTTATGTTATGTTAGCAAAATCAATCATATGTAAATGATGCTTGATAATTGAATATGCTTAAAGAAAGAAAACAGTTGCTTCGTAGTTTAGACACCCCTGATATAAACCATATAAGAAATTGAACAACTCAACAGTCAGTTTCACATCCTTTTTTGTACGGAGATTAGTGCAGTTGCTGCGGTTTGACATGTTTAAAATGGAAATGCTATCTTAAAGTTGCACGTAGTAGCCTGGGTGCTTTCACAATACAGTAGATCATGTGATGAAGTGTCTTTCCTGTTGTCGCTAGCCAATGGGTTCCTAGATTGCATTTTGGCCTATTCCTCTTTAGCTTTCAACGCGGACTGTTTACCTGCGTGCAACAAAAGACTAATCAATTGTTATTTGGAAAAACTACTGGCATTACTAACAGAAACCAAAACGGATTCATATGCAGATTAAGATAAACTTGCTTTAGGAATAGTTTGACATTTTATGGAAATACACTTTCATGCTTAAAGTCAGATGACGAAGTCCTGCTGCCCTGCTTTACCTTTAGGCTATTAGTTTCAGGGTTAACTAAAGCTCACTGGGACACTTGAATAAAACAAAGCCACGTTGATAACAACACATTCAAAATGTCTGCTGTGAAAAGAAAAATGTTTCGTCGTCACTAGCTGTTTTTGTACATAGAACAGCGTATGTCATACAACATTGGAAAAAGATGACTCTTCTGTCAAAAACAACGTCTCTTGATGAGTTGATACCTAACGTCCTCTCTGAATGACACCGGTTAAAGAAGTGTGACCCTGATATGCAGAACATGACTACAAAAGAGAAGGAGCTGGGACTTCCTGCATCCAGGGCTCTGTTTCAACGTGTTACTTAAACTTAGAAGTACTTTCACCACAAACATTGAAGATGGTAAAACACTTAATATGAGTCGTTGACTTATTTGTGTGAAAATAATTCCCATGGGTGATAATATAACATATGACAAATATAATTTGATTTGAAATGTTTAATATGTGTGCATGCCATATTACTTTACTAAATACTGTTTTTATTGTGTCACTATAATTATTGTCTCTTTACTGTAACTATGTCATTTCCCCTCTGAGAGACTCTCATACATTTATTTTGAGGCAAACTGATCTGTATCTGATCATTTATTAAAACCCTAAAATTATAACCTGAGACACGCAATCTAAGTCATTTTCTACTCTACCCAGAAAACAGCCACTAATAATGTTAATACATTTATTAATGTAAAATACAAATATCATGAAGGCCTGAAAAACCAGGCATCCATTTCAAAAACACATCAAGAGTGCTGCCCGCAGTGTTGAGGAGCAGGTTGTAGACGTCCACAGCCCACCGGAAGGTTCCACTGTAGCAGGTCTTTCTCCCTCTGATGGTCTGGACTCTGCACAACATACAGTAGAGAAACATAGAATTAGCACTTGTCATGAAAATCAATTTCGATGAAGTTTAATGGTGTAAATCTCCACACAAGCAGTGGGGGAAGAAGTATTCAGCTATTTTACTTGAGTAAAAGTAGCTATAACGTTTATTTTTTTCCTTTTTTGTTATACTCTTGTACAAGAAAAATACTGCATTCAAACACAAAACATACGTGAAATACTAAAAACTACTAGGAAAAGTACTCGTTATGCTTATTTGAATTATTTTGTATACGGCTGCAGGATGTTTTAAACTATAATTCATTTATAAATGTTTGTACTTGATAAAAATCGAAATCTTTAAAGTCACTAAAGCCATCAATAAATGTAGTGAGATTAAATGCACAATATCAGTGGAGTAGTTTAGCGTCAAATCAAAAAATACTGTGCACATACCTCAACATTCTACATTACATTAAACCACTGGATATAAAAACCAGTCAAGACCATAACTGAAGTAATAATACTACTTTGATCACAACAGTGATGATCAGTCATTTAGTTTTCCTCTGAAACTCATTTACTTTCTTTGTGATTCATAAATGAACTATAGTGGATGTTGTGGCTTGGTGATGTTGCCTGTCTGGAGGTCATGGATTATCATCTTTCTACTCTTTATATTAGTCAGTTAAAAACAGCAGAAGAAAGAGACATACACTTACATGAAGGCGTTGTTCCGTCAGGAGCTGTGTCGGTGTAATGGCGGATACCAACCTCCATGGTTCGAGAACTCGAAGCAGCAGTTTCTATGAGCTGTGCTGAGCTGCAGAGCATGATCTGTGGAACAGAGAAAGTTAACATTTCTAAGAGCAGACTCTGAGGAGGACGTAACATCGACTTTAATCAAATGTATTCAGATTCCACATAATTATATGAGGTTAGTTGAAAGCAGTTGAAGTTGAACTTTTTATTTTGCTCTCAACTAACCTCATACAGTGATGTGAAATCAGATCACTCACGCATGGCGCTGCAGCAGCAGCAGCAGCCCCAGAGAGGAGAGCCTTCATCCTGCTGTCAGTGCAGGAGAGTCTTCTCCCTTTGCTGTGGTCCACTCTCAGCAGCAAGTCCAACATCCTGTGCATAGTGGAACCGAAAATGTGTCCTGTCATGAGACGTTATTGCAGAATTCCCCGACACCTTCTCAGAACCTCTTCTGTGGCGAAGCACTAAAATGACTGGAGTTATCATACGGAGGCGTGTGGCGCAGTGGATAGAGCCTTGGTGTTGGGATCAGGGGGTCACAGGTTCAAACCCCACTGCAGTCAGCATGTCGTTGTGTCCCTGAGACACTTCACCCCAAATTGCTCCTGTGGGGATCGTCCACAGTATTGAGTATGTAAGTCGCTTTGGATAAAAGCGTCTAACATGTGACATGTAATGTAATCTATTAAGGGGAAGGAAGTTTAAATAAAGATCACCTCACCTGACCCCAGACTTCTCAGCATCTATTCTACATCTCAGTGTTAGTTAGTGGAAAGATCATCAAACACTTGCAGTTTATCAGTTATCAGCAGAAGTACAGAGAACTCACAACAGACCATATTTGATTTATATGTAGATCATACTCAATGTTAAGAGACCTATTGGTAGTGTCTTAATTCACTGTTGAAATTAGATTTTAACTTTTCATGATTTACATTTCCAAGCATGTGGCAACAAGGCTACACACCAACCGGGAGATGTTCTGTTTAAACCAGTTTCTGAATTCCATAGGACCAACAGTGTCTCTACAGTACATGTCATTATTTTAGCTGCAACCACCGTCGTGGTGTAAAGTACATTTAACTAAGTGTTGCACTTAAATACAATATGAGAGACTTGTACTTTATTATTTACTTTGTATTTCTACTCCTCTACAGTTCAGAGGTAAATGGTGTACTTTGACTCCACTACATGTATTTAATACCTTTAGTTACTTTACAGATGTGGATGAATGATGTGAAATATAATCAATTGTTGAATCAGACTTTAGTTCCACCTGGAGTAAATCCACCAGCTACCCTGCAGTATACAAAGTCATTCAAACTAGCTGCACCTTTACCAGCTTTGAGAACACTTTCATGATCAATCATTATAAAACATATCATATATATTATTCTGACATGGACCAATCTGCACAATACGTACTATTTTGATGATAATCCTTTTACTTGAATAACATTTTGAATGCAGGACTTTTACTTTTACACTCTGGTACTTTTACTTTTATTTAAGTACAAGATATGATTACTTCTCCCACCTCTGTCCGTAGCACCAGACCTCTGCAGTTCACCCAGAATGCAGCAGCCTGACTTGTTTCCATCCTCCCCTCAGTTCCCCCACACTGCACTGCTCCTCTGCTCCCTTCACTGCCGAATCCTCTTCAAGACACTGGTTCTGGCTTACTGTGTTGTGAACAGTGCTGGAATTGGGCCGGTACTCACCGGTACGCAGTACCGGCACTTCTGGTTCTGACCCATGGAGTACCGGCACTTCTTGCTCAGTACCGGCATGCTGGCGGTACTCCGGTACTCATGCACCGTGCCAGTACTCAACACTCTCCCGCCGTTCTTATTATACATCCAATATATATATACAGCCGCCCGGTACTCAGTAGATGCGTCATGAGGTGCCGAACGGACATTCTCATCGCTCTAACCGCTGGAGTTTTCACAGCGGCTGTCAGCTGTTTACTCCTGTCATTCAAACAGAACGTGCTGGAGAGGGGGGCGGGGCTTATCTTCTCCATGTAAATACTGTGGTGGAAACGACTATGTCAAAATTAACCTATTTGACCGTGATTTAATAGTAATACACGTTTCAAAATAATAATAATAATAATGCCGAAGTAACAACATACTGAAAACTGTTAGTAAAACCATGTTTTAATGCTTTACAATTGACATACCTAGATGCACGTGTGTTGTGTTTATGCAGTGCAACTCCCACCCAGTGCGTGGCTATGTAGAGTGATAGAACAGAGCAGGCACGCCCCCGAGAGAAGGAAAGCAAGTCACGTCACAAATTAGCATTTCTAAAATGTTAGCGTGGATTAATAAAAGTGCAAAAAGACAGCGGTTGTCGCCGGAAGAAACTTCAAATACAGAGAATGCTGTGCCCTGTGTTGGAAATTGTGTCTGATGGGGAGCTTTCTTTGGTTGATCCTCCTGCTCCAAGTTCTAGTGCATTAGCATTAGCACTAGCTCCGCCGCCTCCTCCGCCGCCTCTAACGTTAGCTGCTGCTGGCGCAACTGCCACCACCAACACCGGGCAAAGCGATGCACCTGACTGCTGGACAACGGACCAGGTGCAATATTTTTGCAAGACCAATGCATGGCTCCTTCTTAAAGATAAGAAGCTAGGATGTCGGATATGCAGAGATGTCAAATCTTTGGGAATACCACACTGGACAAGGACTGAAACTGTCAACTGAATGGGGTGAGTGTGCAGTGTCTCATTTCGGTGTTGACAAGGGCAAACAACAAGCTAGCCTGAGAAAAAAAATCAAAGAACATAAAGAATCACAAGCCCATGTAAAAGCTGCTGACATCCTTACATCTGCTTCACGTGAAACTATTCAACATCAAGTGCAGTCTATGCATACATCTGAATTAGACACCACTATCAGAGTTTTTCGAACGGCATATAAAATTGGCAAACATAGCCGGCCATTCACAGACATGCCAATTGATTTGAATGTACAGAAACTGAATGGGCTGAACGTGGGCAGGGTTTGCACTCCAATAAAACCTGTGGTGAAATCATCGACCACATAGCTCATGAGCTGAAGAAACAAATGGCAAAAGACATTACAGAAAACCAAAGAAAACTCTGTGTTTTGGTCGATGAATCTACCACTATTAGTGGTAAAACAGTGCTTGTTGTGTGTCTACGCTCAGCATTAGCTGATGCTGAGCCCGAAACGTTTTTTTGGGAGCTGATCGAGTTGGATGGAACAACGGCTGATGACATCACAAAGGCGTTAATGGAGTGTCTTGGAAGAGATTTTAACGAGGACTTTTTAGGTCAGTGTTTCGTTTCTTTTGCATGTGATGGGGCTTCAGTCATGCTAGGGAAGAGAACAGGCGTTGCTACCCAGTTGTGTAGTAAATTCCCAAGCCTGTTTGTGTGGCACTGCTCCAATCATCGTCTAGAGCTGGCAGTTGGGGATGTGGTCAAGGAGGTCTCAGGGCTCAATCATTTCCAGATCTTTTTTGACAACTCTATTCCTTGTTCCATGCCTCCCCCAAAAATCAGAGGCAGTTAGCGCAGTGTGCACAAGCAGTCGGACAGCGTCTCCTGGTGATAGGGCGTGTTTTGTCCATCCGCTGGGTGGCTTCAAGTGAAAGGAGCGTCAGAGCAGTCTGGGAAAACTACCGAGTGCTTCATGATCACTTCACAAATGCTGCAAACGACACGAGCAGGGATTCCAGAGACAGAGCAAAGTACAAGGGCCTGGATGATGTGCTCACATCTGCAACGTTTGTCAGCAATCTGGGACTGATGTACGATGCGCTCACAGAGCTCAGCGACCTCTCTCGGCAACTCCAAAAAAGAGAGATGACACTGCCTACAGCAGATAGGCTCTTAACTCGAGAAATACGAGTTTTTGAATCCATGGTCACCATGCCTGGCCCACACATGACTACAGTTCATACAGCTCTAGCTGAGAAGTCCTTCAAGGGTGTTGCCCTGCGTGAGAATGGCAGGCTTGTACAGATTCATGCAGGTCAGTTTTTCCACAGTATGGTAGAGAATCTGAGACACAGAATGACTTCCACAACCTCCTATCATGTCAGCACAAGAGAAATCCCATTACATGGCCGGGAGGCCCGGGACAATCAGCTAATCCAGGACATGAAAGTTATCCATCCTGGAAGTTGGCCTGAAGAGGAGTTAGACGTACAGTATGGGGACGTAGAGGTGCTACGTTTGTGCGAAGTGCTGAAAGTGGACAGAAGAGAGACTGTTCAGGGCTTTCGCGAATACAAGGAAACCAGGGCATCCCGTACACCTGCTGCCATGGAGCCTCTACTGAAAGCAGTCCGAACCATCGCTGTCTCCACTAGTGAGTGTGAGCGGGCATTCAGCTGCATGAACGATATCCTTACTGCAAAAAGGACATGCTCTCTCTGTCAGCCGACTGTCCAGCCTGGTTTTCATTAAATGTAATGGACCATCACTAGGACAGTTCAATCCGGAACAGTATGTGAGGTCCTGGCTGGCAAAGGGAAGGAGAAGTGCTGATGAAAGAGCCTGTCCAGCTCCAGCCCCTGATACTGATGTCCCCAAGGCCTTCTGGAGCCTTTTCTAACAATGTGAAGTATATTGCAAAGCAGCTCACCCAGTGAGAAGACTTTTGGCATAATGTGCCGATTTGTACAGATCCTGGAGATAGAAGGACTTCAGACCAACCAGGGAGTTATCTGATCAGCTTGGTGTTCAATGTAACTCTTTACCATGGCTCAGACTTTGTTACTTGCAGTTACAGTTTCTCATTTGAGATTGTGCACATTTTGCATTTGTTTTTACATGTTCTTTGTTCATGCTCTTTATCATTTTTCTGAGTTGGAAAGTTAGATTGCATCATAGTTTACTTTATACATATTTGTATTCTTCAGTGGTGAAGTATATTGCAAAGCAGCTCAGCCATGTGAGAAGACTTTTGGCACTTTTTCGTTTTCTGAGTTGGAAAGTTAGATTGCATTCAAAATGTACAGAAATACTTAATTTTGTTAAAGCTTTTATAAAAAATGCTTCTGACCAGAGCTTTGTTTCCTTGTCATTAATGTTGAACACCACCAGAGGGGCTCTCACCTGAAAGGTCTCTGCTTCATGTGTCTTCAGCAGAAGATCTAGACTTTGATTGCTATATTTTCAGTTAATATTGACCTTACTGAGCTTTAGCCATATCCGCTGCCTATCATAAACAATGTTAAGTACAGTGAACCTTTCTAAAATATACAGTAGTAAAGAGACAAACCCACCAGCATTATAGTAGCCAAATTCTTGTTTGTGGGCTGTATATATAAAATTGACTTGAAAAAGTTGCTGATTTTAGAGTACTGGCACCTTTTTCATTCCAATTCAAGCACTGGTTGTGAATGGAACCAGTTCTTCCTACATTGAGGACATTGTTAAATCATACACTCCAGCATGTGCACTTCACTCTGCATCAGCCAATCAGCTTCACAGCAATGTGGACTCAGGTTTATGGAGCTATTTCAGGGTCATACGTTTTGATCATTCAAAAAAATAAAAT